CCTGACCTAATGACCCTAGTAGACTGACCCTCGGAAGGATTAGGATTAATTTGTCCACTTTCCTCACTTAAAATATAAGAATTAGGAAACATCCCATCAGAGGGAGGCACATATGCCTCGCCGGTCTGGTTTCTGACATTAGAAGGAATATTCTCATCCAAATTGTGGATTGTATTAGTACCATCCCTATAATGGACACCTCTCAAGTCATCTAAACTAGCATATCATGTAAAGAACTAGATAGTAATGACTCATCATAGGAAAAAGGATCACACACATTCAGATTATCATTGGGTTTATGAGTCATAAAAGAGTCTACTGAGTTAAGCTTGACAAGAAACACAATTTCATATTAATTTATATCCATGGAAACAAAACAAGATTTCTATCAAGACTAAGAACTTTATAACCTCTTTTTTATCAGAATAACCTAGAAAAATGCATTTATCAGCTCTTTCAGAAAATTTATCTAGATTTTAAGCGTAGAAGTAAAACATAAACAATCAAAAACTCTAAGTTTATCAAAAGAATGAGAAGTTTTATAAACAAGATCATAGGGAGAAAAACCATTTAAAACAGAAGTAGGAGTTCTGTTTGTTTGAAAAACATCAATTAAAACAACATCTCCCCAATATTGAAGAGGTAAACTAGACTGAAAAACTAAAGGCCTATCAACATTCACAATATGTATGTGTTTCCTCTCCATAACACCATTTTGTTGTGGAGTATGAACACATGAAGTTTGATTGCAAAATACCTTTAGATTCAAGTAACAATTTCATCCTATTATTTAAGATTCCAGTCCCATTATTTGACCTTATAGTCTTAATTTTGACTTCAAATTGATTAAAAAGAATATTGAACAAACCATAAACACAGTCGTAGACCTCGTCTTTATACCTCAACAAGTAAACCTAATTTTCTTGTCTGAAATCATCCATAATAGTAAAAAATAATACCTAAATCCTTCTGAAGTGTTCACCCTATAAGGACCCCAGACATCAAGGTGAATTAACTCACCAAGATTAGTAGAGACATGTTAACTAATAAGGAAGGAGTCTCTAGTTTGTTTGGCACCAAATTTAAGTTTATTTTTTATATAGATTAAGGATTGGTGAGATGGATGACCAAGTCTATGATGTCAATTAAGTTTAGAAACACAACAAAAAGAAGAACTATTAATCCTAGAATTACTACCTAAAGGCACACTATCTATATATTAGAGACCTCCAAATTATTTACCATTCCCCACCATCTCCTTTGATTGTAAACCCTGAATTTTAAAGTTATACTCATTAAAGACAACCTCATAATTACTATATTTGTAGAATTTATGGACAGATAACAAATTTACATTATAGTTAGGAAGAACAAAGACATCAAACAAGGTTAAGGAACCAAACAGATTCATATTCCCAATCTTTTCAATGTTACCAGAACTACCATTAGGATGACTAACAAGAAGATCTAACTTAGATACATCCACAATATCATGAAGAGAGAACTCAAAATCTATTATATGATGATTGACTCTTGAATCCACTATCCATTTTAGATAGTTAATAGTAGAATTAAAAGCTTAGAATAAGCAAGTACATGTCATGCTTGCACTAGCATATGCTTCCTCATTCATTTGTTTTTCAATGATAAGTTCCAAAAGTTTGATATATTGATCCTTAGTAAGTTGATGTAACTCAGAGTCTCCAGTGGAAACGGATAAACCAGAAGAATTAGAACATACAAAAGTTGTAATGGAAGAATTAACAGAAAATTTTCGATGAGAATTGTTTTGATTATTAGACTCACTTCTTGGCTTAAAATCATTAGGATAACCAATTATTTTGTAACATTTTTCTATAGCGTGACCCCTAATGCCACAGTTTTTACACCGAACAACTTGAACTTTGTTCTTATTAGAGTTATTTGAATTAAACATATTGTTGAACCTACTATTAAAGGAAATAAGTTGAGACTTAGACAAAGACTGAGATGACTGAATAGCATATAAAGACCCATTTCTTGGAAGGTATTCTTCTCTAGACACAATAACGAATGTAATTTTGAAACTAGGTAAAGGTTCCATGAGTAAAATATGACTTTTGACTTGACAATAAGAGTCATCAAGGCCACTGAGAAACTGCATAAGTTTCATTAGATTAGAGTGATCCTTAAGTTTAATAGAAGCCTCACAAGTACACTCAGTCAAGCTATTAAGACCATTAAACTCCTTCTATAGGGCATCAAGCTTATTGAAGTAATCTTATAAGGAACTTCCATTTTGTTTGAGAGAATTAATCTGTTGGTGAATGTTGAAAACAACAGACCCATAAGACTAATTATAGGTTTCAAAAAGATTTTTTCAAATATCCTCAACTACTTCAAAATAAGCTTGAGTCTGATAGATGGAGTCAGAAATAGATGAAAGAAGCCAAGAACAGACAACAACATTAGCATTGTCCCATTTAGATTCATCAACATTAATCTTTTTAGAGTTTCATCCACGAATCCTAATTTAGTATCCCTAAGAGCTCTAGACATGGAACTTATCCATAACCTAAAATTTTCAGTTCAAGTTAGCCTTATAGTGATTATTGTTGTAACAACATTATCTGAAGGGTGAATGTAAAGAGCATCATCAAAGTTAATTTGATCATCCTTTCCACCTCCACCAGGAGTCTCAATAGGACCAACCATCAAACATAAATAAAACACAATTTGATCATCCTTTTTGTTCCCTACCATAGCTACATAAACCCTAATAGAGGATCTCATAGTCCGAAACAACTTCTTGTGGAAGACACAAACCAACACCGATTCTTTAGGATAGACAAGAATCCATAGCAGATCTGCAAGAGGAAACACAAAATCTCGCGGTATCGACAAACTTGACAAAACAGATCTAATCATGAGAACATATCTAATTGATCAACGAATAAACCCTAGATTCGACACAAGTGCCAAATCTACAAGGTTATTCAAAAAACAAACAAAAATACAGAAAGAAAAAAAAAGGAACGATGAACAAACCTTATGATTCGCAATGCAGATCGACGACGAAAACACCAACGGAGCCACCTATAGCTTTGATACCGTGTGCGAAAATATGAACTCAATACATTTCCAACACCATCATTTCATTCCCTATGAAACAAATGGTTACATCAAACAAATATACTGAAAAACCTCACTACATAAAATCACTCACACTCATATGTACAAAAACAAGAAAGAACAAGAGATCAATCTTAATGGAAGACCAAACCATAACAACAATAAGAAACCCTAATTCTAGCTTGAGAGAGAGCTTCTATTACAGAACTGTATGTGTGAGAATGAATTGATTGATCAAAAAAAGCCTAAGAAAGGAAACTAAATACTTCGGGTTAGGAGCTCCATGGATCATCCAAATGTCTGTTTACAAATCCGGACAACTGCAACAGAACTTACCAAGCAGACCTTGACAAATTCCAAACAATGCAAAAACTACCCAATAAATAATAAATTAACTTTTAAGTTTGAAAAAACATTTTAAATCATATTTTCAACAAGGCTAGATTTGTTGTTAAAAAAAATTCAGTGATATTTTTGAGCACTTATTTAACATTTATAGAAAAAAAATATGGTTAGAGTCTAACGTAATTCATGAGCTTAAAGAATGGCATTGATAGATGCATTGTTTAAAAGTAACCGTGATCCTAAGGCTGAAGAGTGTCATGAACTCTTTACCGCTGGGAAGCCAACGTGTCACCTCCGTGACACCTTTACCGGCAGTGAACACCGCACCCCAATGATATTATTACCGGCGGTGAGTTTTCACCACTCACTTTCTTCCTTTGCCGTTCAACTTGACCCACTTTCTTTGTTTCTTTTGCAGGCTGTAAACATAAAACACCACACCTCAAGCCTTTTTAAAAATTGCAAAATTAACAAAGATGTCTCCTTCATCCTAGGTGGCCAATGGTAAAACCGTATTACACCATTTAGTCTAATATCCAAATTTATATTAGTTTATGAGCGGAAGTTAGTAACGACAATGATACTTCCACCCCAAGTATTGCATCAGGAAATTATATGACATCTAAATTTTGAAGACATGACTACTACCAAATTTAAAAACAAACATATTTTAGCTCGGTGGAATGAAACGTAACCACAAATGTCCATTCACCCTGACTCGTGATTTAATAATCATCCAAATGACCAAAACTTCTATGTTAACTTCGCAATCTACTTTTCCTCTTAGTGACTGGGTATTAGATCGAAGGTCACCTAACAAATGGAAGTTTGTAATTGACTATAGTATTACTCGGATGAAGTTGTACGAATACAACATTACATTTCCGGGTTCCATTTTTGTCCCTTTAAGATCAAACATAATATAACTAGCTATTGGATTGCTGTTAAATTAATGTTGCAAATTTGTTTTACGCATTAAGAAAACAATTCAAATTATCTAAAAATCCGTTTTCAAACCGGTCCCAATCCGTTTACATCGGATCCCCCATTTTACCTCTCTCTAAATTTAGTAAATATCTACTATAATAAATGAAAGTTTTTTTTGCCACATATCTTGTTCTCATTCATTTGGACACATGACATTTTCTAGAATTTTTAAATTTTTTATTTTCCTCTTGTTATTTTATTGTATTTTTCATTTTATTAAATTAAAATTCCATATTTAATGTGTGAGGTAATATATATATGTAAAGTATTTATTAGAAAAAGTTTATATATGTAATGTATTCAATACATTAAAGTCTCATTAAATCTTAATAATTAAAATTTTTCTCATTTTTCTTATAAATTCAAACTTTTCAAATTGTTAAAATTTTATATTTATTTTTTTTAATTAAACCCATGTATTACATGGGTATTAAACCTAGTTGAATAGTAAACCAAAAAAATCCCATCCGGATTAAATTCGATTTTGTTTACCTCTACCGAATCATCTCAAGAAATTGAAGCCCAACCAAATCTGGTTACAGCCCATGAGGTTCAAGGCCCAAGAATACAACCCATTCATGTTTAGGAAGCAACAAATCATCACCAAAGTCAATGTCAATACAATAGATTACATTAAAAAAAAGATATAAGGCAAATTCAAATAAATCTTGACACCACCACCCAACTCCATTTTGTTCCTTATAGTCTAACGTTTAGAGTAGTATCATCACACTATGATTCATAACAATAGCCACAAACTTAAATGCTAAAATTCTCTGGCGTTTTAGGCATTTCAACGTTCGCCCAATCTTTCCTGATGTCAAATGTATAGTTGATCTCCAAGTAACATTTGCCATCATCATCAACAAACTGAAAAAAAAAAAAAATGGATGCAATTATATCAATCTAGTACAATTTTACGTAGGAATCAACAAATAAGTTGGTACGAATTAAAGCACAAATGATGAAAAATGTATTGCAGATATTATTTGTACCAAACAATATCATGAGCCTCTCAACACATGGACCAGCAAAATAATGAATTCCTTTAAAAAAGCAGAAATAAAGCTTAAATATGGCCTTTACTACTTTCAATAAAGATGGATACGTGGCATGTGCTTTCAATAAATCCCATGGCCCACAACCCACAAGTACCAATGTCAATGGCAATGACCTCATAATAAAACCAAAATTTTTAATTTTTCTTTCTAATAGTTTGGACTTTGGACAAATATGATTGGTATAATATAATGTCTTTAACAACATTTCAAGATGAAATTTTTTATTTTGAAAGACAATCTTTTGAGATCAAATGTTAAAATTACAAAAATGACGTAGTTAATCTACCAAATTGACATCATTTTTACAATTTACACAAAATGATTATAATTTTCAAAATTTGATTTGCAATATTGGAATATGTGTTTTGTGAAAAGATTTTGCAAATGCAATATATTACGAAATACTAACTGATATATTGCAAAATATAAGATTTTTTTGATAGAATTTTGATTTGCAATATATGAATCTGTATTTGGTAAAAAGATTTCGAAAATGCAATGTATTACAAAATACTGATTAATATATTACAAAATATAAGATTTTTTTTTATCGAAATTTGATTTGCAATATACGAATCTGTATTTCGTAACAAGATTTCGAAAATGCAATATATTACAAAGTACTTATTCAAATATTACAAAATATAAGATTTTTTTGACCGAAATTTGATTTGCAATATATGAATCCATATTTCATAAAAAGATTTCGAAAATGTAATGTATTATGAAATACTTATTCACATATTACAAAATATAAGATTTTTTTGACCGAAATTTTATTTGCAATATATGAATTTGTATTTCGTAAAGAGATTTTGAAAATGCAATGTATTACGAAATACACATATTCATATATTGCAAAATATAAGATTTTTTTGATCGAAATTTGATTTGCAATATATGAATGTGTATTTTGTAAAAAGATTTCGAAAATGCAATGTTTTACGAAATACCGAGATTCATATATTTCAAAATATAAGATTTGTTCTTCAAAATGAAAGTCATTTAATTAAAAATACCAAATCATTTTAGTGATTTATGTGATTAGACACTTAAATTTTACCTTAGTTTTAGCAGAGTAAGAGCCTCTTGCAAAAAAACCAGAAGGGGTTGTCTCCTCTGGCATATCATAAGTGTAAGCTTCTTGTTGGGGACTAAAAGTACCAAGCATATGTTTCATTCCATCCACTAAAAACACGAAAAAGAACACCAAAGTTTTCAAAGTTTTTGTCACGAAATAAACACAAAAATCAAGGTAAACACTTTGCACTTTTTACAGGGTGCTTTAGGCTTACCCTTGACGCCAGTTTTCCATACATTGTTGGTGTACTTTAAACCTGAAACAATGTTATGGCTAACTTGAAATGCGAACCGAAGGCTATAAGGACAACCTTCTTTCAAAGTAAACCATGGACCCTTCGGTTTTCCATCTTCGGGTATCGGAAGAACAATGTCAGATCTCCCTGGCGACATGATCGAAAGACTCAAGATCTTCACTTCTGGTTCTAATGATTCTGGAAAGAAAAAGAAGCGATTGTTACATCAATTTAAGAAATTGAAGGAATGAAGTTGAGTTCTGGACCTCCAACAGCGCTAATGTCGACGTTTCCAAGTAGTTGTTCTTTCCACTTTGTGAGACTCTCATCATCCTACAAACAATTGAAAATGATAAAAGGGAATTGAAGGGGATGAAAGAAGGAGGAAATGGATAAAGATTTGTACTTTGTCTTTCTCGAATTGTTCTTTGAGGGTGTATTGAGGACCCAAATCGATCTTATGACTCTCTGCATCTTCTCCTTCGTCTTCGGTTTCACAAATGGAGGATTCGCTTGCTTTTTCATCTCCATTATCTTCAATTTCAGTCTTGTGTCCTTTATTTTCTTCGAGTCCCATGTTAGTGGAACTAGAAACAGCTTCGACGACCAACGACATTAATTCATCAAAGGGTAATCGACTTATTTAGAAGAAAAGATATGAGTTTGGAGCAAGAATGTTGAGTTCTTGATGAACACCCACCTAGAAATTTACGAATTGGAAGCTGGAAAAAGAAAGGAAAAGGAAATGGAGTGGGATTGAAAAACACCCAAATGGATAAAAATGCTTCCTTTCTTGGTGTAAGAGTTGTTGTCTTTTGTTGGGGAAAGTGAAAAATTCTTGAAAGATAACGGTTCTTTAACGCTAAGAACATCCAAGAATGTTAAAAGAGAGCGGAAAAAACAAGGGGCAGAGGACAGGCCCACAAAGAAACGATGGAAACACGAAAAACGGGTAAATGGGGTTTCGTTTAATAATTAATTCTTTTAATGATTTGGGGGAAATGTTCTGGATTGGATGAGACGACAATGTAGGAAAGAAAAAATATTTTTATGTAAGGGTGGCAAGGTGTTAATAAGGTGTTGTATCTGGGTTAAGATGTCGAATTCGTATATGACCAATATATCCGTGTTATGAGTTGATATGGATTGAAACATCATTCCGAATACTATCTAACTAACTCATTTAATTGTACGGCTTCATTATTTGGGTTTGTAGGCTAGATTCGGATTCCTCCGTGAATTTTGTTCGTGGGTCAGATTTGCATAACGTGTTCTCGGGTTGACCTGAGAACTTAAATACTAAATATTATTTTTGAATATAATATATCATAATTAGATTTAAAGTGGACATATAATAATAAGCATAGTCACATAACATCATAAAGACAAAACATATACATCATACTAAGACATAAGTATGTAAATTTAAATCAAATATATTATACAAGTTGGAGGATGACCTGTGAACACAAATATTAACATGAACACAACCATTTATTTTGATCTCTCCCGAAGAGTTTTGAATAGTTCTTTCCAAAACTTTCCCGTGAATTGTAGAGTCACTGATAATGATGCGTGGAATTCCCAAAGCTTCACCACATTCTTGAAGAACACCTAAGCAACTTCATTTACTTTACATTCTGTGACAAAAATAAATGTTGCATATTTGCTAAATTGGTCTACTACCACCATTATGGCTCCAAACCCCTCGGATTTTGGAAGTGCAACTATGAAATCCATGGAGATATTGTCCTAAGGCCTTTCGGCGATCGGTAGAGGTTCCAAGAGCCTTGTTGGTCATTTTTGTTCCCCTTTGTCCTATTGGAATACAAGAAATGTTCTCACATATGCTTCAATGTCATCCCGCATATGGGGCCAATAATGGCGTTTCTAAACAAGAGCGAGAGTCCGGTGAATTCTTGGTTCGCCAGCCCATAACGAATCGTGACATTCCTTGATCACTTCACGATGCAAAATTTTCCATACAAACAAATATACTCGATTCCCCACTGTCTATAACAACTCATATTCCAGCCAAAACCTATGGGTCTTTCCTTCTTTCGTTAGTTTTGCCAAATTACTTGCAACAATCAGGTCATGATTAATTCCTTCTTTGAACTGTTCAAGTAGGCCTGTTGGGGTTGGGTAGACGATAACCTTGCTAGTTCCGCCTTCCAACTAAAGGCATCAGCAACAACATTCGTTCTTCCACATTTATACATTAAATCATAGTTAAATTTTGCTAGAAAATCCTACCATTGCGCCTAATTCGGATGCAAGCGCTTCTGGGTTTAGAAGTAGCTCGTGGCACTTTTGTCGGTTATGATCACAAACCAACTCCCTAAGGTAGTGTCTCCAAGTACGTTAGCAATGTATTGTAACATCCCAAAAATCACAACAAATTTAAACTTTTCAAAAATAACCCAAAACCATAAATGTTTTCAAAACCATTGTTTTAAAAGTGTATTTCAGTAATCAGAGTATCTCAAAATCCAAATAACCTAAAACTAAAGGATGTGCACGATCATGCCTTCGCCTTGCCACACTTATCTGAAGTACCTGAAACAATAAACTAAAATTTTAAGTCAAAGCTTAGTGAGTTCCCCCAAAGTACCAACACACATAACATATAACAACATATATTAGGTCCACAACAAAGAGACTTGATTACCCCCACAATATGAGTCTGGCTTGCCTTTCCGGCCCACAACTCATATATGGCCTGCTCCCGATCCCACAACATAAGTCGGGCTTACCCTTTAGGCCCATAACTTATGTCTGGTTTGCTCCCTAGTTTGTTGGGTACCACACGAAACAATACTACCTCAACCCAACCATACTATGTCGACATATACATAATAGATAGCATATAACAATAAACTGATAATCATGCAGATCTTAACAGATCACTACAGGATGACAACATCCTAACCAGGATACATAATCTACCGGGTCGGCATTGGTGCCTTCAACCCACAAGTACAGTGAGGAAAATTCACCTCGATTAGAAGATAGTAAATCTCACACCCAAGTATGTTGCACAACGACTCCTCACATTGAACACAATCAATACCAACCTTAGTTACTTTCTAAGGTTAAGCCCATAATCATGAGGCTCAACAATGGCCCATGTCCAAATTAGGCCCTCTAATAGCCCAACCCATCTAGAGAACCCTATGGTCCAAATGTTCCAAAATGGCCTCAAGTTAACAGTCCAAACACCAACAGCTGACCCTTACGTCGTGACCAGCTCGTGGTCACATCGTGAACATTGACTGTGACTCGGGCCCAACTCACCGAGTCAACTTAGCCAATCAACTCGCCTAGTTTCGATTCCAACCATCGTCACATCGTTACCACTTCTTGAGTCACGTTGTCACCTAATCAAGGCAAAACAATCAGGATGACAAGTATTCTCACGACATGATAGGCTTATTCCTCACGTCGTGAGAGTTGCATTGGCCAACTTTGAGCATTAAGCTCTTATTCCTTTCAACCATTACTTGGGACTTTCCAGAGGGTCTTCCATTAACCCAAAGGATGATAAAAAGACATAGCTTTTTATTCATGCATGTCCAATGTAGGACTCAAATACTCATTAGGTCAAAAGAGGGAAAAATGAGATCAAGACTCATACTTGGAGTCTAAAACTACTCCAAAACTTAGATCCAAAGATTATATAACACAGAATGCCTTAATGATCCATATAGTTGCCAACTTTATGGATCCCATGCATGAAATCGTTCACAACCATGCAAAAAGGAGCTAAAACATAGATCTAGCATGCAAGAGGTAAAAATGTCACAGCTTTATCACTTACAATGGTCCAAAAGCTCTACAAGAAGGCAATGTAGAAGCTAGATTCCAAGAGGTTACTCCACCATGATATTTTTCCACTTCAGTTAGTCAAAAACCACCAAAGAATGCTTCAATGTTGTAGGGTTTCAAAGCACTCCATTGACGATGGCAATGGGCCCCCTTGATGATATGTAGGTTAAAATCCAAAGACTTGTCTTTTCCCTATAAATAGTAATGTATTACTCATTATTAGGGTTAAGAGAAAGGCAAAATGTAGCCGCCACATTGTGAGGTTTCTTGTAGAGTTAGATTCTTATTTCTTAAGTGTAATTTGTTCCTCACAATTCAATAAATCGAGTGATCATTCGACCTAATCTTCATATTTGTCTTTTCCCTATAAACAGACCATTCTCACATTGTGAGCACCTAAGGGTTCACATCATGAGACTCAAAAACACGGGTCAAATAGTCAATGGTTACTCATGACCTGACAACCTTGTCTAATGTTGTGACCCTCATATAAAAGGTAGAAAATCAATAATTAAGTACCTCCAAGACCCGGGTGTTACATGTATAACAACCCGGGTGTTACATGTATGACAACCTTCATACTCTATCAGATGTCCTTCCTGCATCAACATACCACCTATAGCAAAATCAGAAGCGTCAGTATGAACTTCATAAGGGACGGTCTAATCAGGTAATCTCATCACTATTTTTGGATCACGACCACCTTCAATTTCATAAAGTAACCTTCACACTCCTCAGTCCAAGCCCAAGCCTTGTTCTTTTTTAAAAATTCTGTTAAAGGAGTCGTTATAGTGGAGTACCGTTGGATAAAGTTCCGATAATAGTTCACCAATCTAAGAGAGTAAAGGAGCTTGGTATCATGGTGGGAGCTTTTCATTCTGATAATAGTTCACTAAACTAAGAAAGGATCGTGATGGTGCTTCCCTCACATTGTGACCACCTTCAAACTCACATTTTACTTAATTTTTCATACCTTGAGGATCTCGATGTTACAGTTCTCCCCCACTTGAATCAGACTTTTGATGGGTTTGAGCCATAAGATCTTTCTTATGTGCACATGCAAACCCTAATTGCTTGGATCTAGGTTTCTCTAATTGAACATGCATGTATCCAAGACTTTCATTCATAGATCTAGTGTAAATAAACAATTCATAGCATATGAAAAACAGATCTAGAAGAATACCTTGAGTTGCTTGTTTGATACTTCTTCTTCTTGGAGCTTAGAATCACAATTGTCACTCCTCTAATGGCTTACAAACACCAACTAGCAAGAAGATGACTTGAGAGAGATGAAGGAGGGTGAGAAATCGGCCCTAGGGTTTCTTACCTTGCATGAGTGCCGATTTTCCTCACCTTAGGGATCTATTTATACTATGGGATACTAGGGTTTCACCTTTAACCCTAATTAAATAACTTAGGCCCTAAGCAATCCAAGATCCTCCTAGATACTAGGCTTGGACGAATTTAAGGTTCCCTAACCCTAAATTTCGCCCACCCTCATATCCATAAGCATACATAGCCCAAAATACTATTATCACACATTTGACAGTTTATGCCCCTTTATTCAATTAATCTCTTTAAGTCACCAAATTAATTCTTAGTTAATATATGACTTATATTAATCAAATAATATTATTATTCCTTTAATATATTATTCTCATAATATTTCTTCTCTCTTAACAAATCATCATGTCAAGTTGCTATGGGGAAGGCAACCCAAAGGGACCATGCAAAACCGGGTCAAGTACTTACCAAATATAGTTACAGCCTTAGACACTAATCCAACAGTCTCCCACTTGGATAAGTCTAGTAACTATATATGCAAACACAAACCGATTAGCAATTGTAGCTCTCAAAGACGCTGTCAACTTTGATCTTATCAATCTCCTGTCCTTTAGATAAGGGATCGTACAGTCCTCTGTTTAGATATTATGTGGATAATCTTATGGAACTTATTGTCCAGCATTTGATTTCTCGATCTCAGATTCATTTGACATAGAACTTAATTGAACACATCAATTCATTCCTTACCGGGACCGACACA